ATTTCCCCTTATTTTCCAATTTTTCCTCATTTTTACCGTCTATTTTTATACCCTTTGTATCCAGCAATAATTTAATTAGCATTCTCCAAGCTTTATAATTATCCTTATTTGTGAAAGGTTTTATCTTTATTGAATCCATGTTTGGTTGCTATGAATATTCGTATATAAACAGTTTGGTTTCCACGGTTATATTGTCGTCGTTTAAACAGCAAAGTATAATAAATATTACCTTTTAAATTTGTTCTGGGCCCATAACCTGTTGGACGGTTATCTTTTGAAGGGATTGGGTTCTGTAGGTGATGAGGGGCTATTTAAAAACACAACTGCTTCATTATAATTATATTCCAGATTGCTTGAGCACTTTTACACCATTATACAATATCTTTATATTTTTTAATAAAACTATTACATGTTTGTCTTGCCGTGTCTAGATGAGAAGTCACTGACATTTTCTTACGAGAATACAATGATCTGTTTTTTAAAACATTTAAAATAATTCCAATATTCGAAATCTAATCAAGTGTCAAGTGTTGCCTGCCATTACATTTAATATACAAACTCCAACACATATTTTTATGCTATTTTTAGTACTCGATAGGCGCCTTTGCATTTTAACATTATAACAATATAATCAAATTAGTATCTTCAGTTGACTAAATCTTTTTTTAAGAGCGACAAATAAAAACAACAAACAATAAGTTAAAATGAGTAGAATGAGGAAACGTAACATAAAAACGGAAGATCCCGAGCCCTCCACGTCCACTCGAATACAACAAGAACACGACTTGGCGTATTATATTCACGATAGAGTGGAACTGATGCATCAGATTTTCAGCGTCTTAAAACCGAAAGAATTAAAGGCAATGGCTCCGGATTGTGTCAGAAACGTATCTATTGACGATTTACAGGAGCTCTGCACTGAGGAGGTACCATTGTGACTAGCACTTTGCTTAATGTTAGAACTTGTAAATAGTTGGTATTTATTGGGTCGTCGTTACTTGTCGTTACTTAGGCATGCGAACCCAACTTCTGGTGGCAAGCTCTCATGAGGCTCGTTGGATATCACTGCGTAAATGCCACCTTAATTGTGGCGCAAAGTCAGAAATTTTATAGAATAAATTATCCTTAAATTTTTTTAAACAGTGTTTTATACAATCCACTGGTTCAGATGCAGGATTGCCTAGTCGCGCTTGGCTAAAATGAATTTTGTGCCCATAATATTTGCCAATTTTAAAATATATTTACAGCTTTTAGGAATCAGTTCGAAACGCCTATTAGCCATCTTGGATGGAGCAGAGCCTCCATCCGACACGGAGTCCTCCAGCAGGTCTCCATCACCACAGCTTGAGACCATATCTCTGGACAGCATATCTTCCGATGAGGAGATACTGAATGAAGATCAACATAAGAAAAAAAAGGTAATTTAATTATGCTGTTTTGCAATACAAAGGCTGCCTCACCATTCAAACCGAAATGCAAGACAGCAGCAGGGTGGTAAGGAACCTATCCTTGCAGGATAACAAGACCTTACTACATATTATTAGCTACACATTAGCTATTACTCAAATTATAGTAGTGGTTGATTTTGATTACAAGATGTTATTCCTTCACTGTGCTAGTAATTTCTGAAAATATGTTAAGTACACATCTCATTAAGATCATTTGAGTCTGTCTGTGGGATTCTGTAGGCCGCCATGACTAAAGTAAAAATTATTTTTCAAAAAATTAGAATATTTTTTTTCTGATTTCATCTCCCTCGAATACATTGTACTGATGTGGTGTTTGGTTTGCTTTTCAGCACAAACATCATAGAAAGAATTCAAAATTGAGGTTGAAAGATAGAAAGAAACATAAAGGTAAGAAGAGTGAGGATGTGGAGCAGTCTGCAGCCTCTAGAGCGGGACTCACTGTGTTGGAGCTGCTGGAGTTACAGGCGCGAGCCAGGGCTATCCGGGCGCAGCTGCAGCAAGAACGGGAGACAAGTCAGTACTTTAATTGCTCTTACTTCAACTACCCTATTGAATAACATGGCATGGGGGTTGGATATCATATCGAGGGGTAAAAGCCTTTTTGGTTTAAGCAATATTTTTGCAACATTATTAACTTGAAGTTTAAATGTGATAAAAATATCAAAACCAAAAAAAAAAACTTCAGCTATTTGAATGGAGTAATCTTAATTAAAACTGTTGATGCTTATACCAAATAAAATGCACCTTTAATTACAAAGATAAATGTCACATATTAAGGGAAATGTTGCTTAAACCAAATAGCTTTTCGTCCCTCGATATTCCAGTGTTGGACATAGGCCTCTCCAAATCCACACCACTGAACCCGGTCTTCGGCTCTCCTCATCCATCTTTCTCCAGCCACTGTTTGGACATCATCGCACCACCTAGTTTGTGCTGTCTTTATTACCTTTTTGTAAATTTAACTAAATAACTTCAGTTAATTTTGTTAACTATTTACTCATACAACATTCTTTTGTTTTTACTTTGACCATTATTAAAAGTTTTTGTATGGGCTACAATAATTCAATGTTTCAAGTATATTTTCCAGTGGAACATGTGGAAACATCTCAAACGGTGTGCAACTCATCAGACAACGAAGTGGAAATCAAAGAGGAGCCTCCAGAAGTGTTAGTCATCAGTAGCGAGGATGAGAAGCCGGATATCCAAGAGTTACAGAAACATCCAGGTTCAGTTTAAAAAATCACATTGTTTTATTCTAGTTGGTGTTTAAAAGAGTTTTGGCTCCCATCCGCAAGAAGCTAGAAAAGCCCCTTAGACTAACAGCGAATAGGTATAAATAAAAATGTATAAAAATAAATAGGTAAAATGAGTAAACAAAAAAAATTGACTCAACTCAGATTCAGAATGTAGTTTGACCACTGAGAGCAATGTGCAAGAAATTCAATTCTATTTGAAACAAAGAAACAAAGTATATTTAAACATTAGCGGACCCGACAGACGTGGTCCTGCATACACAAAATAAATGAAATGAATCAATGAATGCATACACAAAAATTCAATTAAGTAGATCTAGCCGTTTAGTTGCAATATAGATAAATAACCTAGATACCTCTCCTGGGCTTATTTGTGAATCTAAACCATCCAGGGCGCCACCCAAACGCATACAAAAAATTCATTCAAATCGGTCCAGCCATTTAGGAGTTCAGTGAGATATACTGTACAGTAGAATTATTATATAAAGATTTCATACAATAAAAATATCTAGCACTAAAAGAACCATGTCTGCGTTATCGAGTACTGGCCACAGATCTGTCCGTAGTAATGCAGAGTCAAGCACAACTTCAAACCTAAACCACAATAAAATAAAAAATTGTTAAGAATACAGAATGTGCATCATAATCTACAAAGCTGTACTCTAAATGCCACACATTAAAATATTTCCAGTAGTTTGATAACATTGATAACTATTCCATTTATAACATTTTCTGTTTAGTAATTGTGCTATAAGGAAGGTGATTATTTAAAGTGAACAAGGGCTTAGGACCTCCTCAAATTAGAAGGTGTTTGGAATCTAAGCATGACTTCTAGTACGAGGAAATGCAATTGAATGGATCGCCTTATGAGCAGCCAATCCCCACGCTTCATTTCATGGTACCACTTCACACACATGCTCCTACCGCCACTCATGTACCCTTCCTGCAAAACACACGCTGAACTATAGACAGATACAAAATTTCACTACATTTGTAAAAAATACATTTCTTTCTTTTCTAAATCCATTTATTGTTTCAGAACTCGCAAAGAACACTCCAGAAGAAGCAGTCGAGGCGATAGGCGAATCGCCCGCGCCCCAGGAGTCAGCAGTAGTCACGAAGCGATGCAACGACCTCATTATAAAAGTACCCCAGAAGACGCACACGAGAAAAATCAAATTAAAACGAAACAAAATTACGGCTTCTGTTCAGAGCGAAAGTGTTGCCAGTACAGCGAGCACAAGTGTTGCCACAACCGAGAAACGGAAGAAGAAAAAGAAGAAACGCGACAAGCAAACGTATAACATTGACAATGATGAAATTACATTGCAACTGTCGGATTCAGAGAAGATGGACTTGTTACAGGACCTAGAGAAGAAACACGGCGTTGCCAGTGAAACCGATAGTGACAGTTCGGAGGATATGACCAAAGAAGCCAACAACGGCACGGCATTACAAAATGATAAAGTTACTGAGGACGCTTTAGTAAATACAAGTGAGTGTGTCGTGAATGCAGACACAGAATCTTCTGACAAGGGAGAAGGATCAATAGAAGACGGTGAGATCGTCACTGACAATTGTAAGGATGATACAGAAATTTGTGAATCGGTAGAAAATGTTGCTGGTGACAGAGTAATAGAAGTTAACGATTTACCTGTGACCCAAAATAATCCTGAGATTGTGGATTTGAATCAACAACATTCAGAACGTACCCAGCTCAATGAGAAACCCAACCTAGTTTACGGGAGCCCTGAGAAAACAGACTCATTATCCACTAATACTGAAGTTGTTAAACAAACACAAGATTCTGAAAAAATTATAGAGGAAACTGTCTGTATATCAGACGATGAAAGCACAAACGATGTAATACAAATTATAGATGAAGTAGAACTGTCTGATGATTCTTGCAGTGAAGTCAGCTTGCTGTCAAAGGAGCCGACAGCCCAGGAAATAGCTGCTTTGTCTGCTAGAATAGATGAAATGGATCAAAACGATGTGGACGATGATGCATCAGAACAACTCCTAATGTCTTGGAAAGACAGATACGTAGAGAGTGCTAAAGTTAAAAAAGTTTTGACCGTGTCAAATATATTTAACGCATTGAGGAAAAAGAATATTGATTTGAAGAAGAAAATACAGGAGTGTGACAAACCCTCCGAAGATGTTGTAGTTGAAAACAAAATTGAAGACGGAACACTCGAGCAATACAATAACCTAGAGAGTACTGCTGGCAAGTTCAGCTCGGAGACCTTAGATAATGTTGTGGTTACCGCCAACATGAAGAAAGATGCTAAAGTCCTATTGAAGATGTACAAAAAGCTTCTGAAATACAACGACATGACACGGGTCAGTAAGAAGAAAAAGAAGAAAGACGTGTGATCGATAGGGCTGTGTCTGAGTTATAATTTTGAAGCTAACTTGATGTGTATTACTTGGTGCGCTGTTGTATGTGTAGTTGTTTAAGTAATATGACAGTGGAATGTTAATATGCTTTCATGCTTACATACAGACATACAAATAGGACATTAATTGTTTAGAGGTATCGACACAAGGAAGATCCTTCACAGAACAGGGGCAATTGCTGTGCATACTGACAGTACCTGTGTTGTTCTGAATTTGTATATATGTACACTGATCAAGTGGAAGGGTGCCGATGCGTTGGACCCACCAGATCAAGTCGGCAGTTGGCGGCTGTTTGCATGAGTGTACCAGGCTCACCACAAACCATGAGGAGTGGCGATTGCTCGTGAGGCGCATAACATCTGCCCACAGCAATAATGCTGGATGACGACCACGACCCCTCTGACAACAAGAGTGATACGACATACGAAATACACTCATCAAGGTATATATTTTTGTTGTAAACTATGTAATTTATAATTCTTAAATCATTTCAACGGCCAATGAATAGCATCTTAAAAAAACACTGTTAATGTTGATGTCTGTTGGCAACTTCATTTAACGAGAAGTGTAGGAACAGGTCACATGGCCTGCCTTGAAGTTCTACAGCCCTAGGTTCAACAGTGGACTATAAAAGACTCAATAATAACGATGAAAATTAAGGGCTGTGAGTTCATTCACTCATCTAGTGATTCTAGTGCATTAAGGATGTTACCCAAGCAAGGGAGGGAGATGCTCTGCTGCTCACATGTTCAGAGTCTGAGTTATGGAGAAGGAAGATGTTCACTGAGGAATGTAATTATCCTGTATATAATTACATCGTTAACATTAAGGTATCATTTAAATGTAATAGTGTAAGTAAATTAAATGTTTTTAACAGAAATTTCATTCATTGGGAATCAAAAGCCCTTTTTTCCTCTAACTAATCGTTGGTAGCTTAAGTGGCTATTCCAACTACGCCCGGACCGGTAGGTGAGCTCACGGCTCAACCTGAAAGAATTGGTGACACTGATCCTAAAAAGAGCAGCGCTTCATTGAGTCTACCACCGGATCCATCGCGACCCATTGAAAAGATCCGACGAGAAATTCAGTGGGCGTCTGTAGGGCTCATATCAGGTTTAAAAACGTAGTGATTATACTCTTTGATCAGATTGTCGCGCCTTAAGTGTATTATGGCTTACTGAATTTGGCACCCCTTTTTTTGATTTTCGGATTTATTTATTTATTTTATTTTAATTATTTGTTCGTTAATGTTCGAATGTAAAAATTGTTTGTTCGTCTTTTATTTATTTATAATTAATTAAACAAATAATCACCCTTAAGTTGGCCTCCCTTACTAGATATCTTTATTTTTATCGCTCAGATTAATTAATTTTGATTAATTATCGTTTGTTCGATGACTTGGTGATTGTTCGATCATAAAAACAATTAAATTCCCAATTATTAATTATTTTATATCTAATAAGCAAACTATCGCCAAATTCAGTGAGCCGTGTATTATCTAATGTTCCTAGCGCTATTAATGTCGTTTATTAGAGTCTTAATACCAACACTTTCCAACAGGGAAGGCGAAGGTATCCTATCATACCGCGTAATCTTATATATAGATTCTGTTATTTAAAAATTATGGAGTTAAAATCATAAAAAAATTTCATGACTTAAAGTTGATTTATCTGAGGCTGTAATTAATTGGGATGAAATCACTACTTATACCTTTCATGTTGAAAACAATGTCTGTGGGGTTCGAACCGCGACACAGTAGAGTCACGATATGAATTCACCGGGTCTTGTCTTATCTTCGAGGCTACGATAAATAAATTATCCCGATTTCGTGATAGCTACAGCAAGCTCTCATAAGTTTCGTTTTTAAATAGTTTATCCTCATTTTAAAGAATCTCGTGTTTACAGTCGTTCGGAATAGAGCCTTGTAACTAAATTCTAATAGTCTTGGCTTTTGCATTAAAAGTCATACAGAGACGAAAGCTCCGCAGTCATATATCTTAGAAAATCTCAAAAAATCGTTTTTGGAATAAGTTCCTTATGGGACGATGTGGAGGGGTACCCTAACCGGGAAAAAACGTCCGTAACGTAAGATTTTTTTCTATTTAGTTTGTTATCAACAGATGTCAACAATTCCTGAATCGCGGTGATGAGATGTTACACAGTAGATAGACGTTCTCGTATTTCTCTTGCCAAATCATACTTACCTGGCATAGAGGATACCGTAATCATGCAGGCGGTTCCCTCAGGGCGAGGCTGCTCCATTGCGCTGCGGAGTGGTTGACCCTTGCGATTATTTTTATTTTTATCAATAAAATAATCACAATAAAAAATGTATACCCGAATAATTATTTTCTTTATACCTCGAATAGAACTTAAAATTAATATTTTTATAATACGGATCATTCGTTCCTATCCGGTGTCCCACGACACCACCCATCTTTTTTTATTTTATTAAATAGCAAACTCAAACAACACATTTTTTAATTTCATCATTCACAATAGTAATACAAGCTTCGTAAAAAAGTATTTATCACAACATTGAAATTATAAATAAAATCATGCCGATCTCCAATGATACTCTTTGCTCATGATGAGCAGCGAGAGTATGACGATCAGTATAATAAGCGCCAGGCTGATGCTCAACAGCACTACTGTGGTGAGATTTCTCCCAACACAAGTGTTTTCGCCGTAAATGCGTTCGTCCTGTGCCCTGGGAGAACTCTGTCTCGTTGATTTGCTTGCTTGCATAATTTCACTACAAAAACAATGTCAAATTAAACGTCATGTGTCAAATAGCCGCTAGTGGTCTTTTTTCTCATCACAGTCAATGGATCTCAATTGATACTAGTCACAATATGGTGTAGATTCAAGGTCTTTGAAACCAGAATGTAAAATTACTTGGTTAATTACACACGATGGTATCTTCAATTCGTCTGCGGTATTACCATGGAAAGAGTTAGAACAGACCCTAATGCAAACTTACTAACGATTGACACGAAAACTCAAATAAATGCATTCATTCCGTATGATGTTACCAATTTACAAAACCACGACTTTGTTTCACGTAATGCTGTAGCGGTGTAATTGTTTCGGCTTACCGCTTTATAATCCGCTAGTCAGTCACGCCCTACACTGCAATTGTAAGTTCAGGATCAGTGAATCAAGTGCGAGGGTTAATTTCGCAATTACATGTTCTAAATGTGACCATTTGATGGTGCGCCACTACTCGAAGACCCCGGACACTTTCAATCGGTCAATTTTCAATTAAGCAAACCATAGATAAACAAACCTTCGATACGTATTCCACTTTCAGAAACGTCACGGTGACAACAATGACAGCTGTCAGAGTGCCGACTGCCGCCACAGCGCCGAGCACGCGGAGCGCTCCGCCGGCGCCGCAAGAACGGAGGTCAAAGTTGCAAAGCGATCGCCGACGCAATACAGACGTGTCGGGTCGATGACCTGCGCGCCAAATATCAAACTGACTTATTATTTCCGTTTGCGTATCATCAAGGAAGAGCGTTTAACTTAGTACTTTGTATTAGCGGGTAATTTCAGGAAGAGGATGCAATCCCTCTTCACATAGCACGCAACTGAATTTTTATTAGGCACTTTCTAATCGCCATAGCTTTATCAAGGATTCGGAACGCGGTATGAAAGCTCTGAACAATCAGCACGAACCTCAGGGTCGGGGCTTGCACTATTCCACTATAGGTACAGGGCCCGGCGATAAATGTGGCACATCGACTTCAAGAAAGAGACAGTCGGTTAATTTCGGCTTTGTAGAGCGTCGTCTCTGTGGCACACCGCCTACATATGTGACCTTTGTCGGTCGGTGTTCAAATGTTTACAGAGATCGATGTGTAATGCTTAACGTCGGTAGCGGTATGCGTACTGCTAGATAAAACTGTTGTAAGAAATCTACAATGGTGCCTAGTGCTGCCATCTAGGACGAATGTATGTAAAACTAAAATATAAAACTCACTTTTCTGTATAACACGAAACACCTTTTTTACTAATAAAAACTATACAAAATTATCAAATTAAAAGAAATCAAAATTAGATCTAGAAATGTGTGCTTTGTGCGAGTTTTTTAACGTTCTCGACAGCGTAAAAGTATGCAGTTGGAACAGCGCCCCTAGCGGCAAACGTAAGCAAACGCTCCACCTCAATACAAATTTGAGTTAACTTCTACGCTATCGAGAACGTTAAAAAACTTGCACTACTAGTGTGGTTCCAGGATCATTCTCGCCACCCTCCGATCTGACTGTCATCGACTTCCCTGTGCGGTGTATTATGGTTTCAAAGCCTCAGAGATTTGACTCGACACTTGGCGCGGTCGACGTGCGTGGGCAGCAGTGCCGTTATGTATATTTGCCTTCGAAAAGACGCTACTCGACTTACGCTGCTGAAACCTGCAGCAGCACCAAGCAGCACCAAGAATGAAACTTTATTCTAAAAGTTTCGTAGGAACGGCAAGACTAGTTCTAAATTTATTTTAGATGTTTAGTATTATATAAGGTTGCATCGATTATATTCTACCAATTTAGTAGAAAGTTGTCAAAATTAATTTACTTACTATCAACAGTGGCTGTGGGAGCGGTAGGAGCGGCTCTGAAATAATCGAACTGTGGCATTATTTTTTTTTGCTTTCCAGCACCTAATCGGTTTTAAAATAAATTTTGTACTTTTGTGGCCCTGCACTGGTCAGTAGCGCCATGTTGTTCATTTTGTTGCATGTGTTCCGGTCTGTAGAGCAGTTATCAAAGCATAACGGAGATTACTTGCCTTTTTTGTTCCTACCTATGCTGATAACCTTGACAGGCTATTTCAGCTTCTCCTTGACGTGTAGGTGAGCTCACGGGGCTCAAACCGGGAGTGTTGCTAACACTGGTTCTAGCAAGAGCACTGCTTCGCAGAATCTACCACCGGACCCACTGAGAAGATCCGGTGAGAAACTCAGTGGGCAACAGATTGCAGGCCTCAAAATGGGTGAAGGTACTGACGTATTGTGCCTATGGGCTCCCATATCCCCTTAATTCCAGGTCACGTTGTATATACTAGCTCACTAGTTTGTCTATACACGCAAAAAATGTTCATAACAACTTTAAGCAAAAATCCCTTTAGACGGAAGACTGTTTATTTTTTGAAATGTTGTTTATCTTTATTTTTATTTTTGATTTTACACATTACAGGGCCGAATGTCTACTGACTTCAATACCGATATGGAGGCAAGCGAAATAAAAAAAACCTCCAAAGAATTCGTTGTTTAATAAACTCACAAACTATTTTGTACTCACTTTATAATTGATGTCGTTGCATTTTCATTTTTCATTCAACTTTACTAGTCCTTTACTAGAAAAAAAAACACACAAAAACCAAGCATTCAAAGTTGACAGACAAGCTCAGACAAGCTTAATTAATTTTAAGCAATTCACATCAAGGAGAATAATATGATGACGGCAATATCTATTGCATGCCAGATCTAGAATTTACGCGCTGATTTTAGAAGAGGTTGTATTTAAAATATAATATTTTATGATTTAAAGTTTTGATGATTACTTTTATAAAATAAAGTTCAAAACTGCATTGTATTTTTATTACGATAATCAGTATAAGTACAAAAATATAGTCTGCCAAGTTACGATGTACTTAATATAAGCTTCTCTTCATATCTGCTTATGCGCGACCTTCTGAGCAGAACCGCTGCAGCCGGCAAGACCCTGATATTAACTGAACATTTTAAAAGCAATGCGACTTCAAAATTCTAGCAATAAATTCTAATGGTAATTTTGGTCAAATTTTTATTTTAACATCATCAACGTTTGCCAGGGCTTAATAAAAAAAAAAGAATTATAAACAAAAAAAGGCCGCGCAAAAATTATTTTTCTAGCGCTATTTCGGTGAGTCTTCTAACAATAGCTTGTTTAAAGGCTCGTTACTCGTCTCCTATACAAAATAATGCTCCTTATCTCTATCCTTCAGCGAAGTAAGAACGAATCTAGTCAGTTTTGAGGTGAGATCTTAAAACGCTTCTCCGACCCGACACGGTTTCTAACGGTCAAATAAATTTTTAAATTATTTTTTCATTAGGCGTACAATGCACATAACAAGCTAAAAAAAGGCACTATAAGTAAAAAAATCTGGCTTGTAACATATCCATGTGCGCACGACTAATCAAGAAAAATGTGCCAACTGCCAAGCACACAATGTTCCTTACAATTATTGGAAATGAACGAAATAATACCGTTCTCATTTCATTAAGTACGTTTCATTGTCTTCGGTAGCCGCGAGTCATCAGACAACTGCCGCAGGAGCAAGTCACCGTCGTCGCCCTAGACACGTCCTTACGGATCCATCAGATCCAATAACTCTTGCATTAGATACCTTCAGCTCTAACACTAGGAGCAGGCTGAGGAACCCCGGTAACCGTATTCGTCGAACTCGACAAAGAGGTCGACGTGCAACTTAACCCACTTAACCCCCCTTAACTTAACCCCGAGTTTCTCGCCGGATCTTCTCAGTGGGTCGCGATTCCGATCCGGTAGTAGATTAATTCGCGAAGCAATTGCTCTTGAGTTGTTAGGTCTCTTTCGGAGGCGCTCGGGCAGTTGTTAGTAAATCCCACCCCTCCTGGCTGAGCCTTTGCTCGCCCACCTGTCCTGATGAAGCTGGAAAGGCCTACGGGCCATCAGAAAAAAAAATCAACAGTGCCCAATTGTGGGTTTGTCGTTATAAACATGTCGTTTGTACGAAGAAAATAATCCATTATGATCTTATGAAAAGTCAAAGTAATCCATAGAGCTAAAGCCGTAAGCTGTAAGATTGGAAGCCCATAACAAATAAATAAGCTAAGCATTTAATAGACAACGAAATGACTACAAGAAGACTCAGAAGAAGAGTGCCTCAAGATCTACTGTAGATTAATTGATATTGACATGTCAATGGACATTGTGCATGCTCCGCCTAGGAAATTAGGCCTAAAGGATAAGACGTCCGGTGCATTTGTGTTGAGCGATGCACCGGTGTTCGAATCTCAGACGGGTACCATTTTTTCTAATGAAATACGTACTCAACAAATGTTCACGATTGACTTCCACAGTGAAGGAATAACATCGAGTAATAAAAATCAAACCCGCAAAATCATAATTTGCGTAATTGTGTGCACATACATGCATGCTGCACTGGAGCTAATCAGAGACACAAAATATAAATGAAACAAAACGAATATATAATATATTATTTATTTATATTTATTTAAGTAATTTTACACGCGTCCGTGGGGTTGTCGTTTGGCTTCTCTTTGTGCTTCTTATCGCCGTCCGTCTGTGGAGAAGAGTTCACTAGAGCTCACTGAAGCTCAGAGTCTGCGCAATAACTACCACAGTACAGCTCCAATAGGATCAACTAATGATTTGTATCCAATCAATGTAATGCAACGTAACGTAATGTAACGCAATCTAATGTACCGCTGATAATCATATCTCTTACAATGCTGGAGTCGTTATTGTCCAGGAGCGGCGGAGTGGCCTGCCAAGTGAGCAGCCTCCGCAGTCTGGAGCCCGCGGCCGGGCGCGCAGTCGGTGACGTCACCGCGTCGCGGCCGCCCTGTGCATTGTACTCGTGTGATCACCGGAGACCGCGGCACTTTTGTTAACACGTAATTCTTTGTAATGGTATATTAATGATATGCGAGAGTCCGTGGACATGAAAATTGTCAGTACTGAAGGTAGGACGGTTCCCCCACGGCCAATCAGGAGATTATTATTTCGCTGCAGAAATAGGAAGATTATTGGTGGTGGCGTTTACCATCTGTGGCCGTCGCGTCCCCCTGCGGTATCCCCGGTCCCCGCTTGGCGGCCGCGTGTTACTCCAAATGAAGCTTCAATGTGCGCGGCGGTCAGCCCCCCGGGACCGCATTGGATGTATCATTAACTCGGTCGCACCTCACAAGGGACGCTTGCCTCCGGGGGCTCTTCCGCCTGTACCGCGCCCGCCCCCGGGAGCTCCCTCACCGGCGCCGCGTCCGTCCCCGGGCCGTTAGCAAGCAGTGGCGCACCTACAATCGTTAGGATAATTAATGTCATTCTTCAAAAGCAAGATCGAAGACTTCATGGAACGTGTCAAAATGACGTGTATCGTATATACTATCTACATCTCGTTAGCACTCTCACTGTCTCGCTCGCACTCGACTTTATTTGGTTACTCTCTTTCTTTCCAATTACACAAAATAATTTTAAATTTTCGAATTGACAATAATTGACATCTCGTTGAGCCCAGTCGCGCTCGCAGCGTGCCCGCGGGCGCACGCACCTCGCTGCATGTGTCGCGCGGCGCCGCAGCAGTGTGACGTCACGTCGGCGGCGCGCGCGGCGGTCGCTCTGCTGTCGCCGCGCAACATTGACTTCAGCTCTTCGGCGCGCTCCATGTATCTACAGCAACGTAACAACAGCCTTTAGAGAGAGAGAGAAGAGAGAGCGAGACGGCGCTATCACGCGTCCCTCTAATTTTCTGAACTAAAACAACGTCGAATCAAAATCAGCTGACACGATCCACAGGTCGTTAACCCCGTCAGCTGATATCCAAGTTGTTTTATACACATATTTTATGGATTTTTTATGTGAATACTAAGCACCTGGTCAGTTTGGCTGTGAGCGCGCCCCTGCGGACGACGTCCGTCTCGGAGTGGACGACGGGCACTAGGAACCGTAAGCTGTCCCTGTAGGCCTCGAACGCTTCCTGCAGCCGGCCCGCGCCGTCCAGCTCCACGGCGCGCTTTATGAGGGACACCGCCTGGGGACAGCACGGGGGCCGTCACGCGGGCCAGCGGGACGGTCACCATGGTGGTACTCGACGGTCGAGCCACGAGGGTTTGGTGGACGCCTAGCATTACAGGGCTGTTGCATCATGAGCGCGTCTACCAGCGGCCTGCTGCTGTGGGCTAGTGGCTTCCAACAGCACCGGGAAACGGTCAGGAGTCACGTGATACTGCCGGTAGTGTCAGCACGCATCGATATTCAACTCTACTCTATATCAAGGTTACTCTATGCTGTGTATTTTTATGTACATACAGGTATTATAGTATGTTTATGTATGTAATTAGGTATATAAAACTTAAATGCAGTCGCCAATCTTGAGACGGATGGTCGACAATTCTTCAGGTACAGAGAGGATGGTGGCGTATGTTCTACCGGCCGCCCCCATCTGGACCCCCAGCTGTAGACCCTCGACCATCGTTGTAAGAGACTTACTCGCTCATAATTCTCTTTATTGGGCATATGCTCCAGGTCGAGGTACTCGTGGCTAAAGAACTCTTCGTACGAGATCCGGTCGTCAGGGTCGTGCTGCAGGAGCCGTAACAGCAAATCCTTGCAGCCTTCCGATATCGACGAATTACGTGGTATCTGAATGAGAGATAGGATCTGATATTATGAGTTATCATTATTACAGAGGAGGTTTACAGTGAGATAGAGTGCCCACCTCGATGGGAGCCCTCCTCTCTATCTTGTCGATCAGTTCCTTGAAGGTGTTGGACGAGTACGGAGCCCTGCCGAATAGGCATTCGTACAGAATTACACCTGCAAAACATAGATATACAAAAGCGGTACGATGGCGTGCGCCCCCCGTACCCCCGCTCCCACCCCCCGGACAGCGCGCGCGTGCTGGGGGGGGCGACTTACCGACACTCCAGAGGTCGGCGCGGGCGTCATGCGCCCCCCGCAGCACCTCGGGCGCCATGTACAGCGGCGAGCCCCGCACCGAGCACCCGCCCTCCTCGCTCATGTACTGCGCGAACCTGCACAAGAAACCGTCCCATTTTTCATCAGTGAGACAATCCTATCCATATCCTCTTCATCTAGACGTCACTCTTCAACGGTCCCCAGCCCGAGTTTCCTCTGTATCTGTACACGAGCGCATCTAGGTTGACCCTGACTCTAAACAGACTGACAGTACAAATTTTATAACTAATAATCTTAGCAAAGTCATCGTTGTAATTAGCACGAGCACGTAAACGGTGACCGTCGCTGGCAGATATCCACAACGACAAGTCGCTGCCGTCTGGCAATTAATGTATTAAAGGTGAATAGAAACTCATTCGCTGTCTCCCTCTCGCACGTGCTCATAAAGGCAATGACGTCATTAACGTAAACACTGCCAACAACTTCGAGATATTAGTTCTAAGGTCTCAGTATAGTTACAACGGCTGCCCCACCCTTCAAACCGAAACGCATTAAGCTTCACGGCAGAAATAGGCAGAGCGGTGGTACCTACTCGTGCGGACTCACTAGACGTACTACCAGTAATATTGTCTATGAACACCGATAAACAACTTAACGCTGAGCCGTGGTGCGGTACGCGTCCTCTTCCGATTATCAGCCAGGCGTTTTGTTATATATGTATCGAGGGTTTAAATGCTATTTGGTTTAAGCGAAATGTACAGGAGAGCCATTTGAAGTTTAAATTTTGAAAAAATAGCATAAGAAACAAAACTTCTTCAGTTATTTGAATGGAGTAAACTTAATTGAAGTTCAATTATAAACATCGAACTGTTGATGCTGATACCAAATAAAACAGCCTTTTTTATATTTTTTTATTGCTCTTGTGGGCAGACGAGCATACGGCCCACCTGATGGTGAGTGGTTACCGTCGCCCATGGACTTCAGCAATGCCAGGGGCAGAGCCTTTAATTACAAAGATAAATGTCGCGTATTAAATGAAATATACTTCAATAAAAAATACGCCAATACGAAAACATTCCAAGCTTTTCTTTATAAAAGAAAAAAAAATTGAATATTTGAAAAAACACCCTGTATCTGTCGGCAATGGACTCACCCAAAATCGGCCACCTTCAGTATGTACTTCCCGTTGGAGTCCTTGTGCAGCAGAAGGTTGTGCGGCTTCAGGTCCATGTGGACCACGGCTGGAGTGCAGTAAATTTAACTATTTTCACAATAGACCACTATTAAAAATTTTTAATACGCAACCTAATACCAACGACAATACCAGTACGATATCGGTTACCGCGACGCAATACTCTGCATAATAGGGTAGTCTGTGCCTTAACTTCATTTCTTTTGAATTAAAAAATTTAATGAAATAAAAATTACGCTGTATTATTATTATTATTAATACCTTAGCCTTGCCAGTTGGAAAAATAGAACTATTACTTTGAGTAGTACAATTAACATCTTTCTATAGCCTACCCTTTAAGGGGGGTAGAAGTTAGGAGCATCATCTCAATGTATTGTAAAGTGTCCGTTGAAAGGGAGCCAGTTAAGATGGCGCCACAGTAGCAAAGGGAAAGATTTTAAAAACAGCGCCATAAGCTACCACACTTTGCTCTGTTTAAAACTGCTATTTTCATATAATTTCCACTTCCTACACTAGCGCTATTTCGGTAAGTCTTCCAATATTAACTTTCTGTTTACAGGCGGACACTTTATCAACTTACCCTCCCCTATACAAGATGGTACTCCTTAGTTCTACCTACCCTCCAACTTCACTTTATAAATACCAGTTCTCGGGTATTTTCGACTAATGTGTGCACTTTATACGTTCTACGACAGATTGATATATAAAGATAATTGAACATTTTAACGAAGTATAAACACGAAAAACGAAATGCGATTCTGTTCAAAAGTTAATGTTTCATATAGCACGCAATGTAACGATCTCTGTCAACGACTTCGCAGTACATTGCTGGTTTTTTTCGCTAAATCTATGGACCCAATACCCGACCAGATGCCTGGGGCCACATTGTGGTATTCTTAAATGGAACGCATACATTGCCTTCGGAGTCCGTCGTATGTACAGGGGAGGTGTCGGTAACTTACACTGTTCTCTCAGGAATTTAAGCGCTGACGCCAAGTGCTGCAGGAAATATAATACCTAAAAAATATATTTGATTTTTAAATACAGTAGTTGAGAAAGAAATTTACAAACAAAAGTATTTTTTGCGCTTTGAACCCATAGACGTCTCAAGTGGATGCTGCATGAGACATAATATTGTAGCCTCAATGACTCATTCGTGGCAAGACCAGCGGACGGGTAGGTGGCACCCGGGCGGGTTCACAATACCCTCTATCACTGGTATGACTTGCACTGCGCGTGCGTTAGTAAACGAATTGTACATTACTCTTTGTTCTGGAACGCGTCCGTATTTCTGTATGTACTTGGAGAGGTCTCCGCCGCAGCAGTACTCCATGATTATGTATATATTTCTGTAACAATATTAGATGGTAACTGAATTAGACGACATATACAATTGGGTCATATCAAATTAAGTCCGGACAATGTTTGTGCGCGCACGCACGCGCGTGTGTGTGTGTGTGCGTGCATGCGTGCGTGCGCGTGTGTGTGTGTGTGTGTGTGTGTGTGTTTGTGTGTGTGCGGGTGGGTGGGCAACTCATAATCTTATTGTTACTAAGGAGGAATAGATCAATAACGAGAAGTGCTATTTATACTGTGTTTATTGGACGACTGATTATATAAGATAGTGTTTACAATAAGCTTGGTATAACAATATAATATATGTAATACATGATTTTTTAAGGTGAGTTAGGTCCGATGTGTATTATTAAGTTTTAAAATATATAATATACTCATGTAACATAGAGATGGATGTACATATGTGTGAATTGTGTTTCCCTTTCCTTTTTTATTATTGTAAATTTAAATTTATAAATTTAAATAAAAACACCGAATACTGTCTAGAACAGAATGCATTTAAAATATCTAGAATTGGATGGTGACTTACTTATCGTCCCATGTAAAGCTCTTCATGTGCACAATGTGTGGATGCGTGAGGGTTTTCAGTAGACGTATCTCCGTAATGAGATTGTCAATGGCTGAACCCGAATTTTTTATGCGAGACTTGTCAACGCATTTTATGGCCACTGTCGAACGGGCACCCACCTGGAATTGATGCCACATATCACACTTTTAGAATTGAATTGGCTTGACGAAACATTTTAAGAAAATGAGGTTTATACTTTGAACGACTTTTAAACTGGTATTCTATCAGTTTACAAAATTAATAATACTTAAATTAAATTTAAATTTAAGCCCACAAAACAACAAAGTACACTTTCCATCTCTTTTAAATCGAGCCCATACTTTAAACTTTAAAGAATGCATTTAAGGCATAAAGCATTAAAATTGAAACTGAACTTGAAATTGACATTACAATTTTTTTTATTTCATTTTTGGTGTTTACCAAAAGAACAAGAATTTTGGACTAAGCCACTTCATTTCTAAAGGTGCAATATAATAAGAGCTCTAGTACTGAAGATTAAAACAGACTTTATGTTATTCAGCTAATGTTTATATTAGTATTTTATTGTTTTGATAAACAGGTGAGCCTAGGGCTCATTTGATTTTGAGTAGTTAGCATTGCTTGACCAATTCATGGGACATACACATTGTGGATGAAAATTAATCCCAAATCCATATGGTATATCCCAAAGAAGTCATTTTAGTTTTACTCATAAGTATGAAATCTGCAGTGCCGTGTGATGATAAAAATGAAATAATGGGAATCCCAACTGATCTCTTACACTTGAGTGTAGTACATCTACTTAAGCACTTGTAAGGATTATTCTAAAGATTTTACAAAATCTAATAAGAATTTCTGAAATAAAAAAATGAATCTATTTTAAAACAATGACATGTAATTTCTACAACTGGAACATTATACAACACTTTACCACTATCACATTCTATTTACATTGAACTAAACTGACGTAATAATTAATACAAACATTTGTCTGTGCTCAGCAATAATTATGCCTTCGACAAACAAAAACTTTTCGTTGTTGCAATAGTATCCTTTGCAAAGTTGTAAACTCAATTATTCGTCTAAATTCCAACTAGTGTTTCTATTTTTATTTTACTAAAGTCATTTAAATAGTATTAACAACATGTAATTTGTTAGTAAAATTCATATTAATGTCTAATTGGAAAAAAAAAATCAAAATATGTTGACTACTTGCAATACCTTTGTATGTGCTTTGAAAACGGTGGAATAGCTTCCTGATCCTAATTTTTCCGTTACTATGTAGCCGTCTATCTTCGGAAAAGCCATTTTCACTTATAATAATCGTATAGGATTCACATTTTGTAACAATTTTCACAATTTTTTCTTTTGTGCTGATAAAGTAATGTCATTTTTGTTATGACTTTTCTTTGTTTTTTCATTAACAACGGAAGGCACAGGGAACATAGTCTATTCATTGATAGTTTCTGAAAAGAGGACCGAAGTCATTTGTTTCTTGAACAAGAGTGAACTATATAGCGGATAATTTTTTAGAATGTGTTTCCCTCGAGGCAGCTGTTAGATAGGTAGGCAGAAACATCGATTGTTATATTATACGTGTTGTGAAAATGATTCTTAAGTTATAGTAGGAAGGGTCCTACGGTCCAAGTCTTATTCCTCCAAGGGCCTGAGGATAATATGCATTTAAAGGGATCTTATCACCCCCACTAACTCCAAGGCTTTCAATCAACTTGACAATTCTCACTCGCGTCAAGGACCGATATAGACACAATAACGTTATAACTTCGCTCTAATATCCCAAGTGGTATCGAGAGGATAACTAAATTAGATATTATCTATTACGTAGAACGAGCGAGCCGGGTAACCGCTTCACGTCAGATGGGTCGTAAATTTGTGAATTATAGTAATAAAAGCAAGGCTGACTCCATACTAGTGCAGTATTTAGGCCGAAATGTTACGCCCAGGGTCGTGGGTTCGACTCCCGCGTCGAGCAAGCAGTCGTGTGATGAATATTTTTGTTTTCTCTTCGTCTGGGTTTTTATTATCTATATATGTACATATGTCAATCTCTGGTGCCTATAACACAGGGAAATCTAATTTGTAGCCGAAAGACTTCTAGATTCTGCGAAGCACTGCTCTCGCTAGGGTGAGTGTTAGCATCACTTCTGGTTTGAGCCCCGAGAGCTCACTAGGGTTACACTGATATAGCCTCTCAAGGCTTAGGTAGGGTGGAAAAAACCCGGGACACGCATCGGCACTGCAATGTGCACAGATATGTCGCACATTATCCTGCCCAAGTTTGTTTTGCGGTCTCAAACAATACAGATCGAGCGTTTCCTTCAATAATAAAGTTCAAGATCGCGGCTCCACTCGATATTTTAAGTCAGCCGACTAAAGGGTGGCCATTTGTAAAATAAAACTTTACGTGTTTTGATCCGAAACGACTAGAGCTGGTCTCCGACCGTGGAGCGTCGTTTTCAAATTATTACAACAAAATACTTCCCTGCGCTCTCACCCGAGCGACCGATTCTCCTCGAGGTCAACACCCGGGGGTTAGTGAGGGGGTCACCGGGCTCAAGCCCATCCCAAGGACGCTCGACTGGAGGAGCCTTCAAGGCGAACAATTGGAGCCAGTCTCATCTCTCGATACGAATAAAGCAAACGTCTTATACATTAGGCTATGACGATTTCTGCTTACCTCAACGTAAATTATCTTTTTCAATTGCAAAATCTTAACATGACAATGAAATTTGTAACATAAATTGAAAAAGATATCTAAATAGTTAGGAGTTTTATACGTTCTCATCAGCGCTGCCGTGTGCGTAAGAGAAAGGGACGCCAGACAGACTGGCGCCGTAATGCGTTACGTAACTTTTTTTTTGTTGATAGCCTTGAGAGGCTACGTCAGCTTACCCTATCGTGTGAGCTGAGTAGGTGAGCTCACGGGGCTCAAACCGGAGAGTTGCTAACACTGACCCTAGCAAGAGCAGGGCTTCGCAGAATCTACCACCAGATCGGAAACGCGACCCACTGAGAAGATCTGGCGAGAAACTCAGTGGGCTGTGTCTGTGGGTTAATTCGCTCGTCGAGCCCTTCGTCGCAAGCGACGGGTTCGACGAGGACAGTGACCGGTGCTTGTAGTGCCTAAAAGCGCCCTTAATGGAGTTACGTAACGAAGCGGCTTACCTTCCCATAAGAAGTTATCACTTAAAAAATATGACATGCGTTTGTTCTGTCAGGAATATCGCACGATTTACACATATTTCAGTGCTTTACTGCGAGACGGCAACCCTGCCTGAGGATGCTGCATTGCTCTATAAGCGCGTACATTTCAGTGTGTGAGGAGTGCGCGACAACAGCGGTTAGCGGTGCGGTGGAAGCGCGCGATAACTCTACTCTTTACTCGACTTACCTTATGAACTTCAATACGAAAATTCATTAGTGTTGTCGATGAATTATTTTAAATATTCTCTATTATTTTTTCGGGAGATATTTTGTAGTTTTTATTATGCATCATTTTATTTATATTCTAGTTACATAGCGAAATAAAAAGTTACTTAGTTCAAAAAACATATTTACAAAATACTCTAAAACAAAGAATGTTTCAAATAAACTTAATTTAGTTCATAACAATTTCCGGGTTTCTGATACATTTAGATTAGAATTTGCATTCGTCCCGTAGTCCATGGGCCAGTAGTCCGAGCTACAAAGGCACTCCGTACCGCTTCGAAATAAATTGGTGTCCAGGTCTGCGTGACCGTCACTCTAGTCTCTACGCTAGAATTATTGGCGTTAATGAGGAATTTTAATTAAATTATAACGACCATTGACTGCTGCTTCTGTGATTAATATTATAATAATTACATAAAAACAATCGGAACACGTGACGTCATCTGTGGCTAATCTCTTAGCTAGCTGTCGGGTGTTTTAACCACTAACCCAGTTACATTTGATGAAGTTTCCTTCATGCGGATTTTAAGTAAATCTCATCTGGTGTTATATTGTCAACAGAGCTCATGGACATCGTCGATTTTTAATCCCTTGAATAGGGGCGACTGTCAGCCTTTGCGGCATAAATAAGCTGGTCGCGGCGGTACCTATCCTGGCGGGTACTTGGAAGTCAAGACTGGTTGGCACAGTCGTCTTGCCTGCCACGAGTTCTAGTCCAAGAATCCTTTCCCGATAATTACGAATTGAATAAAGGCCCCATTGTGTTCAACCTGTATCTAGATTGACATAAAAATGTATGGAGTGGTCGTTGGACAGAATCAAACTGGAAGAGAGAAATCGCCTCAACTCAAGGAGCGACAGGTGAGTGGGTGTTGGATTTTCTTTAAATTGTAATAGTGCGGACGTGCATACGGCCCATTTGATGTTAGCTCGCTATCCCACCATCTGGAGATATGAGGTCGAAATCCCAACTGTATCCCACAAGGACTGTTCGCCATTTAAATCCTAAGCCGTTGTTGCTGCCCGATAGAAATAGCAGGTTTTTTGTATCTACCTGTGCAGACTTTGTTACATGGGACGTCATTTGTGGTTAATATTACTAAAGAATATAGATACCTGGATTAAATAGAGAACAGCTACCTCCACAATTGTGATTAAGTGACAGTGTTACAACTATTATATTTTATTAGACTTTTGAATGATTTTGATATAATTCAAATTAAATTAAAGTGTCTAAGAGATGTCGGATGCGGGAAATACTGCGGACAAGAGCGCTTAGCATTACGCCACTGGTTGTTCTGTCAATACAACACAATTAACATTTAAGCATTGGAACAGATTGGTCCTAGGTTCGTAACAAGGACTTTATACAGGATAAAAAGTTTTTTTCGGTACCTTTCATCCGTCACTTTGAGATTTTCCGGCCTCAAGATATTGTGTGCTCAGTGTGAGCTTTTTAACTTCTCGATTACGTAAGGGCCTGTGCACACCACGTTTTTTAATCGCGCCGTCGACGACGCCCTTTTATCGTACAGAGTGGTTTGTTGTCGTTTGTAACGATACAGACGCGATGCTAACGCGAGTTTGTATCGATACAAACGCGCGTTAGCATCGCGTCTGTATCGATTCAATCGTGTATTTGAATGTATACAGGTGTGCAAAGGTCTACAGGCTGCGTCTGACTTGCGTGCGTATCGCGTCTGTATCGCTACAAACGCGCGTCGACAGCGCGTTTAAAAAACGTGATGTGCACAGGCCCTAAAAGTTGACTCAAATTTGTATTAAGTTGGAATGTTTGCCCATGTTTGCCGCTAGGAGCGCTATTCCAATTGCATACAAATTTTGAGTTAACTTTTACGCGGTCGAGAAGTTAAAAAAAACTCGTACTAAGCACGCCGTTAGTTCTTTCGCTGCAGTTTAGTTTAGTTTCGATCCGATCGCCACCAAATTCCACATAATCACTCGTTGAACCAATGTGAAATTCCTGAAAATTTCATGGAAATCGGCCCCGCCATTTTGGAGTGTATAGACAATACGCGCACACAACGTATTTAAACGCGCAAAATAACAACGACATAAATACGTGATTAAACTGTAAAAATAGTTTTAATTAATAATATTTTCAATGTTATTATAATTGTCGAATTTTTCATTCCAAAAAAACATGGCGTTGCCGGGGCGACCTCTCCAGGGAACTATTCCTTCAATTAACATTGGAAATAATGAAACGGAGACAGATGTATACGAAATGAACATGTCAGAAAGAGACTGTTGTCGTCACTGTCAATTTTCGGTGACGAGACCATGTTTTTTTTGTTCTTTGTAAAAATTGTGTATTAACTAGCTCCCACTCGCAGATATGCCTGCGCGGGCCTCATTTCAAATCTAGTGCTTAGCTGTGAAATAAAATGTGGTACATATTCTTTCCCACGATTCAAAACGATTTCCATATTAAATATCGTTCAAATCAGCTCAGGGGTTCGGACCTAAAAATGTAATTATTTATTAATAATGCGACGGGAGCGTGTCATCTTGTATTTGTCTATGGAGAGACTATTTTTTTGGCGGGTACACACAAGCGCGCGAATTCGAAGTGAAATCGTTGGATTGGTTGATTGTTTGAATTGTTTTCACAGAAAACTCATTGAACATTGAACTCTCAGTAAATTTCCACCAATTTGAATTAAATTTTTAAACAACCTAATCTTTCAGAGTTCCATTCGAGCGAGCCTTCTCGGAAGCCCGTTGCCACAAAATCACGTAGGTATTATTATAAGTTACGGATCCAGTGTGCCGCGTCTTCAGAGATTCGTTTAATTATTAACGGCTCGTTCTGTATTTACGACACCCCACGGTACTTTGTAACCAGCAAGTTTGTAATGAGAAACGCGCCATCTCTGGTCGAATAGTGGAACGCTGTTTGGTGGACCATTTAATATAAAGTTTCCTGAAT